CCCCCCTCGCAGGGGGACGACCCCAAATTGTACCCTTTAGCTTTTACAGTGTAGACGCACGTTAAATCCGTGTGAGGCTGAGCTAAATGTGCGTCTTCCTTGGCCTGCGGTACCGCTTAAGTCAAAATTCATCAAAAGTTTAATTCAATTGACATCTTTGAAATCCCTGTGCAGCACTTATTCCTTCTCGGTCAGGACTAATAGTCTAAATGAATATGGTGTCCAAACAATTTCAAAAAAAAGCTTGTAGAATGCTGTGCATTGGAAGCTAAGTGTGTTTCAAAATTGAAATGAAATAAAATTAAAAAGTTTAAAATTATCTACAAATAAATGTTGCGAATCAAACATGTGTTCTTTTAATCTTTTTAGCAATAATACTCAACTATTATCAAATTCAGCATTGAATTGAAGGTTTCAATTTAATTTCTGTTTGTTCATAGTTGATAGAATGATGAATTCATTGATGTAAATTAAAATTCATATTCTATGATGCACTAACAAACCTAACTAAATACCGTGCGTTTAGTTCAACTAACGCCTTTGAAATCCCTGTCGCTGTTTGGTAGATTGATCTCTGTTAGTTCCTTTCAATATACTCTATACTCAGTAATCACCGCTCTGCCTTACAAATTTTAGGTTTAACGTAACAAATCAATAGCTGTTTCAAAACAGAGATCAGAATACGACTTGTGTCTTTAACAGAAACGTCATAGAAATGTGCTTTGTTAAATCACTTTCCACTTGAACGAAAGAGTTACACGCTTTCATTAAAGCTTTTCAGCAACACACGTTTCAACATTACTATTTTATGCATTTTTAAATTTGTTTAGTTGGATATTTATTTGCTACATTTATTTATTTCATTCATAATGTTTACTGTAGCTCATAGGGCCAAAGCAAAACTCTAAACCGAAACTTGATGAGAGCACATATGTTTTCAAAAAAATTCACACATATTTTAGCCGGGCGATTAAATGCGAAACTTACTTGCAAGGGCTGGGTTTTCAGGGGGTGATTCAACCATATAATGCTTTCTTTCAGGCTTATTCTATCAAGCTCCGCAATGTTCACACTTCTTAAGGGAGAGCGGGGTACCATGAACATGGGGCACGATGAGCATTTTCAATTTACGCGCCAATGATGTCACCGCCCGCCACCAACCTGTAAGACGTTGATAGGGGGTGCGCCAGCTGATGTTTTTATCGAGAGCGCGAAGTCGCACGGCGCGTAAGACGAGAAAGGGAGAGGTTCATAAATTTACAGAGAGCAATTTGTTTAAATCGACCTTAAAATTATTCGGGATATTTTATTTTAGAGCCTAATGCTGAGTCCGACAGTACAAGCGACGTTTTCCCTGCCTTCTGTAACCTTCTTACTATGAAATACGACTGGACGCGATTTTTTTGAACACCTGAGGTTAACTCAGGTCTCTCTAGACCAAAAAGTTGTCTTTTGGGGCACGATGAGCAGTTTTTATCGGGGTACCATGATCATGCAAACGTCAAAACTTTTTATGTTCAAATCGAAAACTGGTTAGTGATTTGGATTCAGCTCGTCGAAAGGAAACGAAAGTGTCTTATTCGCCGAGACGATCGGAGACAAAATGCCAGAGTTATTGACGTTCAAAGTGACACTAAGTCATTTTTGGCACGTATTAAAATCAAGATTTTGATTTTAACATAATTAGGTTTTGGCGTTTGCGGCTGTGAGCTCACACGTTTCCTAGGCGCAGTCTGGAAAAGGGCCGCTTCCCACAGGATTCCCTGGCAAAGACATTGTCATAAATCCCTTCGCTGAGTTTCAAAGATTTTTTTTCGGATTTTTTGGGTGTCTTTCTAGGACACAAATATGCATGATCATCGTACCCTACCAACTGATCATGGTACCCCATAGGTGGGGTACCATGAACATAATGCAGGGTCCCAATATTTTAACCTCAGCTCAGAAGAGGTTTGATTGATAGAAATTATTTCCTAAGCATGTTGTATCTAAGAGACATAGCTCCCACTTGAGCCCATGATCCAGCTGCCATCTACCACTACAGGGGAGAGAAGGCCGAAAACAAAAAAAGTGATCATGGTACCCCGCTCTCCCTTACGTTGCGAGGAGGCCATAACTCCAGGAATCATGTGTACACCTGCCTGCGAGTCATCAGTACAAACACTCGTGGAACGGATACAAATTAGTTAAGGTGAGCGCTTTCTACCACTGGAAATTCTAAGGCATGGGTTTAGTGAAAAACCTTAAAAATGGAAGTAGATGTCAAAATCGATTCGGCCCAAAAACTTTCAGAATGTGCCAGGTACCTCTAAGTACCTAACATCATTAAGCAAAGTGGATTATGATGTGCGCCAACCGTTCCGGAGTTATGCCCGAATTTTACAAATATTGGACCCAAAAAATTTGTATTAAGACGAACGTCTAGGAATGAGTTTTGTGAGTACCGTCCTGATTATTTCTGGACAGTCGCTAGATGACAAAATTTTGGGCCCTCGGGTGCAACAGTGACAGTGCGAAACTTTCAAGTGTGGCGCCGCTAAAATGTTGTGAAAATTCGCACCCCTAGATTAGGTTTGGCACTGGTTTTAGATATCCGTAGGGAGATTGAAGGTAACTTTGCGCGAATTTAATCAAAAATTTCGTTACTTTATTGTTTTAACGGCACCTTTGCAGGCACAAATCTCCGGAACCGTTTGGACCACAGCACCCAGATTTTGCAAGAAATTATCGTCCAATTAGGTCTTTCCATGAGAAATATTTGAACAACGTCAGTGAGGGTCACCAAAAGGGGTTCCGGATCGCAACCTCCTCTGGGGACCCGTTTTTGCAACCCTAATCGATTTCGTTCAAATTTTCTACAAGCAAAGAACGTGCCTAATTATAATTTCTCCTAAAATCTTGCTGCTGTAGCTCAAACTGTTCTATATGCATGTAAAGTTGATAATCAGGCTGTACGTACATTTTGCAAAATTTTAGTAAAATTCACGTATAACGATCTGCAAACACCCTACGCACTGTAAAAAATCATCTGATACTACGGGACGGGCAACGGAACTTCCGTTATAGCATATTTCAAAGAAGAGATACGGAAGAACCGTTTGAATTCGACCATGTAACTAACTTTAGGGTACGGACGTGTCCGAAAAATAATATCAGCTTAAATCCGTTAAATACGTGATACGGCTGCTCCGCACCCCAAAAATGAGGTACGGAACAACCCGGAACAACAGTTTTGCTTCGACCGTACGATTAAATTTCGGGTACGGAGACGTCCGGAAAATAATTGCCGCTGTCGTCCGTTGATTTTCCGTTGTTTTATCTCACAGTGCGGGCAGCTGAAACCAATGTAAAGTGCTATCTCTTTAAGAGAGGCGGATCGGTCGACCGATCGATCAATCGAGTGGTCGGTGGAGCTGTAAACGGCTGTAAAGAGGCTAAATATGCAATAAAGTTGATGAACCCATACATTTTTGGAAAGGGGAAGGTTCAACGATGACGATTGTGCAGGTACATTGGTTCTTTCAATCCACTGACAAGAGCAGTAGTGTTTCGTGCTGTTCGTGGACTGCGCTTAGAGACGGATTCGTTATTCTTAGCCTGAACCACTACCACTATTCGAAGTCGGTTTGTTTGTTGTTGTCGTTGAGATTTGACATCCTAAGATAGAGCAAAATATCTTCAAAATATAAAATAATAACGCCAATAATGAATGAAGATGAGATATTGGAATGCGGTATGGTGGTATTGGCCAACGTTCTATTGCTTCTAGGAGAGGTGGAATTGGAAGGTTTGTAGATGAACTAGGTTTACTTAAAATCCCTGTATAAATTGTAACCTAAACTGTTTACATTGATTCTTTGTAGAACTTCAACGCACTTTCTTTTGGGAAAAGGTGACTGTCAATGTCGACGAGTACCTCAATTACAGGGACCCTACATTCCGATGGCACTGTAGGTTGTCCAAAACCGAGGGGGACGTAACTCCCCAAAATCGTGTACACCACTGGCCCAGTCAAAGGTTGGTGGGTGATTGGAACCGATTGGATGACTGGAAGAATGATTGGGATTGACTGGCGGATTGGGACATGACTGGGCGACTGGGAAATGACTGGTAAGGACTGGAATGTGATTGGCTGACTGGAAAACGATTGGAAAACGACTGGATGACGACAAGATTGGAAATTTGCAACACAACATCAGGAAAAGGGTTGCACTCAGCCTGGCATGTCTACATTTGTCATACACGTAGGGCACCGTGCGTTAACATTATGCACGGGGTAGCTGAGCGAAGTGCATTAAATTTACAGAAGATATTCAAAATATAGAACAAAACTATACCGAATGAGGGTACGCCTAGTAGGTAGGCAACCGGTCGTCATTTAGGCAACCTACTGTGCATC